GATTTGACGAAACAAGCGAAGCTTCGGAGCGAAATTAAGTGAATTAGTGTGTTTAATTATTAGTGTTTTAACTTTAATTTGTGTAAAGTAAATTAAAGTGTTAATTTAGGTAATTTTATCGGCAATTTTTATTGTCACGAACCTCAAGCTCGTAACAGTATCGTGTTAAGAACACTGAACGTGTGGCTGTACGAATGAATGCCCTCTTATCACCGGCGGCGACGACCAGTCGTGGATACAGCATAGCATAAGCATAAACACTCACGCCTGTCACCCAGAGGGGTAGGCAGAGACCACGGACTTCCATTTGACACGATCCTGACATACCTCTTTCGCCTCCGTTACATCCATATATCTACGCATACATGCTCGTCGGTTAAGGGTACTTTTAACGTGGCCCATTTTCAAAATATCGCCAATTTGGTCGATAAACTTTTTTCTAGGGCGTCCCTTCCCGACTCTGCCGTTCACATCCGCCATATAAATTTGCTTTGTCACTCTTTCCTCATTCATTCTTTCTACATGACCAAACCCGTGGTAGCTCAGTGGTTAACGCTCGCTGTAAATATAACAGAACGCGAGTAACCCGGGTTCGATCACCACCGGCACCAATGAAATTGTTAATTGCAATTTTAAGTGCTGATTTACCACGTGCTCGGCGGTGAAGGAAAACATCGTGAGGAAACCTGCATGTCTGAGGAATAAGAAAAAATATTTCGAAGACATGTGAAGTTCGTCAACACGCATTTGGGCAGCGCGGCGGACACTTCCTTGCCCTAAACCCTCTCAAAAATGAGGGAAGGCCTGAGCCCAGCAGTGGGACGTATATAGGCTGTAACTTTACTTTTTACATGACCAAACCACCGAAGCATTCCTTTCTTAATCCTGGTCACAACATCATCTTGCATACCACATTTATCTCTTATCACGCAATTTCTCACCCTGTCATTCAGATTCAACCCTAGCATACTCCTTAAAGATCGCATTTCTACAGCATTTATTCTACTTTCGTGCTTCTTCTGCCACACCCAGCTTTCACTACCATACATTAAAGTAGGGACTAACACAGCATTATGAATTACCATACGTGCCTTTTTTGATACATTCTGGTTCTTCACAATAGAGTGTAGTGCCCCATTCACTCCAAATAATGAAATAAATAAATAATAATAATTAATTTCACTTAGCTAAATCCTTTAAAAAATAAAGGATACAAAGGACTTAATGATTTTATACATTCTCTATCAGACAAACTATGCAATGGTACGATTTATATGTATGCATTTATTTTTATTGTAATGCAAAAAATAACTACAATTTTCATCCTTTGTAACCACCAACCTGCAAATTTTAAACTAAAAACTAATTAGAACTGAAGTGTAATGTGTAATATGTGATTATTTTTTTTATTATGTGCGAGCAGCTATGCAGGTTTAGGGAGAGACCTGTATCACTGCAACCTAAAAGATCTATTGTGATCGCTGCTATGGCTATAGTTCAATGCTAAGGCCCTATGTCTTCAATGAATAGAAGGAGTTGCTTAGCCGTGAGCAATGTCATTTCTTCTGGGCGGAGTACATAGTTTCCCAGATGAATGTTACGTTTAATTACGCAGTCAGTTAGGATGTGCAGAGGCGTTTCTTCCGTTATGGAACGGAACCGACACATCCTTGAGTTGCTTAGTCCCAGGATGGTCATGTGCTCTTTAAGACAACAGTGTCTAGTTAGGGCTCTTGCCAGAATGCGCAATTTATTTTTACTTGATCCCAGGGCTTCTTTAGCGAATTTACGGTCAAAATCCCGGATTAAGAATGTTTTAAGCCTGATGTGTCAGACCAGATCTTAAGTGATTTATTGTGATAAAGAGTTTCAAGGGTCAATCGGGCTAGACTTCTTGAGATTCCACAAAATGGCTCAGGTCCAAATTGTGTGCACTTTGAGCCCTCCCGCCTGACTCGGAACCCATCGTAAAACGACCCTGTTGTTACATCCCAGGGCGTTTAAACGGTTCACGCAGTCTCCAATTAGCTTCGAGTTCACTAAGTTTGACTTCAGCGCTAGCAGTGCTGCTTGATTATCAGAGTTTTTATAAATTATATGGTTGACGTAGTGCTTTTGCAGATTGATTTCTGCACACTGAAGTATGGCGAAAATTTCTGCCTGGAAGATAGAGGTGAATCTACCCAAATTCATACTAAGTTTGAATTTGGGGCGTTCCCCGTAAATTCCAAAGCCTACGTCGAGGCCCATTTTAGACCCATCGGTGTACCATATTAGGCTACCGACCTCACAGATAACCTGGCCATTCAGCCAGTTTTTTCTGGAGTCTAATTCTACTATATACTTTTTATCAAAAGTGTGTAATATGTGATGGGATACGTCATAATAATATTCTTTTTATATCCACTCCTGGACAAAGATCTTTCAAAAAATGTGACAGTTTGCGTGCATCGCTTGGGAAGTGTGCCCATATCACATAATAACCATGCCAAGCCAATAGGTTATTGAGCATGAATCCTATACTTTTTTTTAAAGCTTCACAAAGCTTAACACTGGTAATGTTCATCATTTTTGTATAGTTTTAAATCAGTGGGTCACCAAAGTCTAGTCCTTTTGCTAAACTTTAAAACGACTTTTGCCACTTTTCAGTAATAAAAGATTATTAATAATATTACTATTACTATAGACAAAAACAAGGCCGTAATAAGTGACTGATCGTCTTGTGAACCAGAACCAGAACAGAAAACAAAAAATATATGATAACTATTAATAATTCATTCACTAAAATTAAATTTTTCAAAAATTAGTAAAAAGAAAATAATTTTAAAATTTTCTGTGTCTACACCACTGAGGAGTGACATCTAGTTAAAGTAAAGTCTACGTACGGGGCTTCTTATTTCTATGAGGGCATTTAGAGCAGAGAATAGGCACGTTGTTTTCTACGCCTGTTAGTGGATTTCAGTCCGCTAAAATGCGACAACATAAATGTTCATAATATCTCTGACATGCAGTTTTCCTTACGATTCTTTCCTTCAGTGTTCAGTGCGTGGGAAATCAACACTTAGGTTCGTGATTAACAATTTCTGGGGTGCCGATGAGGTTTGTACTCAGTTTATTTGGGTACAATGAAATTTAAGCGAGCGTCTCGGCCAGTGAGTTGCCACGATTCTTTACGATGAAATATGTTTGTTGATGTTAATCTATGTTTAAATTTCTAATCCGTCATTTGACTATTGTCGTGAATCACTCTTAACACAAGCATATTAAGGTTGAAGTGTCTGGCATTATTTATATTAGGTGTTTACCTATGAAATTGCCGTTTCTTATGAAATAAGTTAACATAATTGTTTTAACTTCTCGTTACCCTCAAAAAGTACTCTCACAAAAGTAGGAAGTTATCGATTTAAGGTCCGATTTCGGGAATGCGAGCTTTCATCAGATCTCCAAGTTTAAAAGTCCTAGGGAGTCATTCCGACTATTGCCAGCTGGACCTCAGACCGCGCGCGCGCGCGCGTGCGTGTGTGTGTGTGCGTGCGCATGCGAGCGCGTGTGTGTGTAGTATGGCGGATGACTGATAGCTTCCAACCCAGCTCTTGTAACTAGGACACCGTTTGTTATGCAGTATGAGGCCGCGCGTTGTCGTTCAAGAGCAGCGGGGAAGAGCTATTGGCCAAAACTGGTTAGAAACGTGTGAGCTTCTCCATCATTGTGTTCAATTTTTCACAGCACACATCTGCAGTAATGCTGCCCTAGAAATCACCATTCTAGGGGTAAATTTTCGTATAGGGCTATAGGGCATTGTTTAGGTGCTGAACCAGGATACAACCAACTTGCTGAGCGCTTGCGGTTGTCAAACAATGCGGTTTAAAATTCCATCGTTGGTGTGCCTGTTGAGCAGTGCAAGGCACGCCTCGAGGTATACTTCGCGCTGGCGATCATTGAGTTCGTAGGGCACCAATTTCAAGCTTTTCTACTTTGCCAATTTGACGCAAATGGACCGATATTATTTTGATGCTAACGTCGAAAGATGCTGTTAATTCAGCTGTGGATAGAGCAATTTAAGAGCTTCCACAATGGACTTTAATTCGTCATTGTCTACCAAAGCTTTTAGACGATCAGGGAGTTCATTTTTCAGTTCGAAAATTCCAGAACGGAAGCGGGAAAACCAATAACAGGAAGTGCGTTTGTTTGTAGTATTGGCTCCGTTGATGTCGTTGATGTTGCGTGCCGCTTGTGCCACGTTGCTGCCACGACGGTACACACATTCTATAATTACTCTAATTTTCAACGTGTCCATGATGACGAAATAGATTAAATGCCGTGAAAACATAACGCTAATCAACAAACAAATGACTAATTTTGAAAAAAGAATTCCACGTTTTTAATATAAAATTAATTTTAAATAAGAAGGCTTCTGCAAATAAATTTTGCGGTTTTTTTTTTTTTTTTTTTGTTGTGTTTTTTTTTTTTTGATAAACATATACTATTATTTTTTTTATTTGGTTGGGTTTCTTTTTTTTTGAATTTTTTTTTTTTTTTTTTTAGTTTCATGTCAAACAAAAATAATTTTAATTTGAAATGACGAGAGTACTACAGAACGGCAATATACTTACTATTTCCAGTAATGTTATATATGTTTTCACAAACACTACATTTTTTTTATAGAATAAGGGTGACGACAAAAACAAAACACCTGATGATAAACAGATGCTGTGGCACATAGACAACTATCCTCGATTGTGAATCAAAACGCAGGTACGTTGTTACCCCTGCGGCCTAGCACGGGATGCCTCGTTTCCTATGAAAATGGTTTCCTGTTTTTTACACTCACCGTACCAAACAGCATTATAGATACCAGTATTGAGCTGGTATTCTGTGAGAGCGCGGTCCTACCCTGGTTGTGCCGACCTATTCGTGCTACAACCATAATATATATATATATATATTTTTTTTTTTTATATATATATACAAATTAGATATATTAAAATTTCTTGTCGCAGGCCCAGCAAGTGGCGGTGCGTCTAGAGGGCGACGTGATTACAGCAGATGGTGCAGTACTGCGGGGAGTGGCGCGAGGGACTCGTCTCCCGGCCGCCCCACTACGAGATTGCCCAGGTACAACACCCCATAAAATTATATCATTCATTAATTCATTATCAATTGGCATTTTTAAAGTCAATTCTACTAAAAGCGTAGATTATAAAAATTAAAAAAGAATGAAAGTTAAAAAAGGAATAGGCTTAAAGATAACTAAAAATACCACTAAATCTTCTTCTTCTTAAAGTGCCATCTTCTTTCGAAGGTCTGCGATCATTAAGGTAACTTGGATCTTTGATGCCGCGGCTCTGAATAAGGAACGGGTGCTCTTTCCAAACCATTGGCGTAGGTTTTTCAGCCAAGATGTTCTTATTCGACCCACACTTCGTTTTCCTTGGATCTTGCCCACTAAATTAAACTCATCATACAGGGCAAGATCCAAGGACCACTAAATGAAAGCTCGTAAACGTATAAAAATTAATAAAGTAATAGCTTCAAAGATAACTAAAATACCGCTAAATTAAAACCCGCAAGCTTATGAAAGTCAAAAAAGTAATAGGCTCAATAATAGTGCTAAATACCACTATTGCCCGTAAGTTATGAAAGATGAGATAAAGTAAGCTTATGAAAGTCAAAGAAGTAATAGGCTCAATAATAGCTGCTAAAATACCACTAAATTAAAGCCCGTAAGCTTATGAAAGTTATAAAAGGAATAGATTCAGGAATATCTGCTAAAATACCACTAAATTGAAGCCCGTAAGCTTATGAAAGTTATGAAAGGAATAGATTCAAGGATAGCTGCTAAAAGTACCACTAAATTAAAACCCGTACGCTTATGAAAGTCAAAAAAGTAATATATATATATATATATATATATATATATATATATATATATATATATATATATATAATCATTTTCTTTTTGTTTCATTATAAGTATTGGTGTACAATAGAAAATATATTCATTGGTTGATTAAAAACTGCATCAAAAATTTACATTAAAATAATCATCCTTATAAATACCTGATGAATAGTTAAATTAGACTATTCTATATTAATGTAATTAGATTTCTAATTTATTTTGAAAAAAGTAAAGTAAACATCCTTTTTTTGGACATGGCTATAGACAAAAATGCGGTATAAATTATAAAAAGAAAACGAAATAGTTAAAAAACATTGTTGATATTTCAGGTGATACCTCTATGACACCTTTGTACGTGGACGAAGACTACGCACCGAGTGTTTGCAGCTGCGCGTGTAATTGCTTTTCCACGAACAAGTAAGCTTCTCCTTTTATATTTTGGGAAAGGTTGAGGATAGTAAAAATGACGTTATGTTGTTTCTTAATTGATTTATTGTTACTTTCTATTTACGATACGTTAATACTCAAATATTGCTCAAAATTTTTTCCAGATCATCATACAGAGATCCGCTATCCCCAGTTCCACCAACTAACATTAAGCAGATAAAATCTAAGAACTATCGCGAGCTAGGGGGTCTACCGCGATACATTGAAAAGTCTTCCTCTAGAAACCGATCTCAGACATTGCGACTTAACTCAGCATCCGGCTATCTTTACATGAACGCGAGAAATGACTTCACACTAGATCCCGAAGACTTCAGGGAAATGGTGGCCAAAAGAAGGGAACAATTGCGCCGCGGCGTAATGATGTACGAAATGCAATGCAACCACAACGAACAATACTTAAATCCCTACAGGAATAGCCTCAGCACCAGAATGGAAACCAGCCCTCACAGCTCCTCATTGTACTCCATGAACATAAGGTCGGACAACCGAAGCAACGATCCCTTGGTGGACGATTACGATTCGGAGAAATCCAGCTACGCGAGGAAGAAGCTCATGAAGAACATAGCAAGAAATACGAGCAACAAACGCGTAGAGAACTACTTCTACGATGACGCGGTTCTCCATTTCGACGACGAGTACGCGTTCGACGGTTCCATTATCTTCGCGAAAAGAAGAAAATCGATAGACCATAATTGGGACGAATTCGCTTGCGAGCTGCCTAAAAATCCGGCTTACGCGGACCAAGTATCGAACGATGGGAGCTATGGTTACTATTTGCCTGACGATGAAGAACAGGAACAGTACTTCGTGAACGACACGCTCACCTTTAACCTACCACCCCACAGAGCTAGTATTTAGTGAAAGTGTGCCAAAGACTCGTGCCAATCTAGGTTAGTGTTACGAAACTAAAAATAAAAGGGCCAATTAAATATAAATAACGTTAGGAGACTTACAATTTTGCGGTAGTTTCGAATATTTGAACGTTATAGCTTTTACACTTAGGTCGGGGTTAGTATTTTTTTTTAATTGATGCTTCGCTTATTTGTAAATATGAGATTCAACGCATAGAGTTTTGAGATGTCGAACGTATTTTCCAACAGAACCGGATTAGCCTGAAGAAAAAGTAGGCAACTGCTTGCCTGTCGTTAAAGGCCAAAGAAAAATACAGTTTTTACGTGATTAACGAAGTTAGAAAAGGAAAGAAAGCCCTCAATATGGCATCTGTCTCTAATTCGTCTTCGGTTGTAATGTCTTTCGACATTGTCCGTGTTATTTTATTATTAACTTACCCTGGCAGTATATGAGAATCCATTACACCTATCTCGTTACAACTCATGCTATCGATGTTTCCGAATGACTGTATATATAGAACAAGCTAAGTACGATCACATGGACCGTTGGCTACTTCCTGTGCTGAATACCTAGCTTGGCGGAAGATCTCCTTGTCTTCCACGACTAAATATGGCAATATCAAAGTTAACTAAAAAACCTTATCGAACCTTATTAATAGTAAAACCACACAGTGAACTAATTACTACACACTACAGACATACGCACTTATTTATAACCCTTAATTTTTGAATTATATCTCTCTCTTTCTATTGTTATTTAGTTAAAAAGAGAGAGCAACTTTAAGTATTACTTAAATTGATGCCGAATTTTACGAGTAAAACTCTTAAAAGAATACTGTAGGAATAGGAAAAAAGCGATGATATTTAAAATATATAGACATGTTAAATGCTTTCCAAAATTATTTTCAAGGTTGTTGCAGCGAAATAAATGCACACAAATAGAAACGACAGACTTAACGATAAAAATATATTAAAAAGTACAACACGATTATGCGTTATTGTAACCATTTATTTTATCAAAACATGTAAATCGTTTTTGTTTTTCAAGTTTAATAATGTTTAAAGATAACTGTATCTATACCTTTTAAATTTATATATAAAAAATAGGTAAGGTGCGTCGTCGCCTCGAAGGACCAAAATGAAATGCCTTCATCGTTTTTTTTTTTTAAATAAAACTGAAATGACAAACGAAAATACAGTCTAGCTGATGGTAAGTGGCTACTGCAGTCCATGGACACCTGCAGCAAACTTCACACGCGAGGATCACAGAATTCGTTGTAGCCAGCGAGGGCTAAGATAAAATGCATCAGTCTGAAATTATACTGATCTATAAACTCAAAAAAGTTGAACCCAGAAAAGTTGTGTTTGTAATTCTAACATTTTTTAGAAAAAAAAAGTCTAGGGCGCTATATAAAGAATAGGGAAGCCAAATCATTTATCTTCGCTATTATTTCTTCATGATCACCTAAAATCTCACACTACTCGACAAACTGTTTTAATATTAAACACCTACAGTAGAACACCATACGTCGTCCTCCGTATATCAGACCGGATCATATCAATACAGGCACTCATGGAGGTTAGAGAACAGGAGAACGATCGCTACGTATTATGAATGAAGCTTTACTATTATACCACTACACTACTACTATACTACACTAGGAGTGTATAGTAAAGCTTATTCGTGTAGTGACGATGTAAGAATATCCACTACCTCATATAGTCCCGTGGGAGTCAGAGGGGAACAGAGAGAAGAAACTTAAACAGAAACAAAAAAGTACTTATTGAAAGTCACTCTTTTGTTTAATTTAATACTAGTTGATAGAATCAGGCGTTACTTTGCGGAAATTCATTCATTCATAGTTATTTTCCTACCATCCGCTAAATTAAATGATGAGTCTTACCTAGTTTGAAGAGCACCTCCCGCTCTCCCTCAATTGCGTGCACTAATCCCATCACCACTAATCCCAGTACCACTACTTCCAACACCACTATTTTCAACACCATTATTCTAGGAAAGACACACCATCGACGGTAATACACCTACATACATATACATAATTTAATACCGTTTCGGAAAAAAAACTGTATCCTGAGAAGAACCAGCAAGAAACCCAGCGGAACTTATTAAAAAAAGTAACAGCTTGCAATCATATATACATACATATATAAACACTCACGCCTGTTACCCAGAGGGGTAGGCAGAGACAGACAGACTTCCATTTGGCACGATCCTGACATACGCATAGCCCGCCTGTCCTTGAAAATTTGTAGAATTTATAGCGGCGCTGCCGTCGGTGAGTAGTGGCTGCGAAGTTAGCTGTTTATGAGTACAAGTAGATGAAGTTAGTTGAATAATGTACAAATTTTCTTCGCGGCATTGGTGAGAAAATTTTCATGCTCCGTAATTTTTTAATTTTTGACAAAAAGAAACATTAAAAAATGGAGAAATATTTTATTGTGCGTGGATGTGCAAGTGGTTTAGCATCTAATCGGAAAAATAGACTAAAAATGACTTTTGTTGAGCGAACATAGAGATCGCAGTGCGTCACTTATGGTGTCCATATTTCTGGGACACTATTTTCTACGGCGATCGTTCTCTTGTTCTCTAACCTCCATGTAGGCACTGCTATATGACGTAAAAAATAAGTAAGATGGTGGTGCCTACCCAGATGAACTCTTAGATAGATAAAAGAGTCCTATTGTCTTGTAAACTATCTAAAGGAGACCTGGAGATCTTAGAGACTGTAGACTCTTACGACCGGATAGTATGTAATGGATTCTCTTAAACCACCATCGCACGGGTGATAGTTATTAAAAACTTTGTTCCTGCTCAAATTAAGTCTTATTTTGACACCATTGCTTCCAAACGGTTGACTGTTTATTGTATTTTAATATATTTGAAATGTGGATCATATAACTTTCCAAACGAAGCTAGGATAGTAACTATCATAATGACTAAGCATTACCAGTATTATAAATCTGTAAATTCCTTTTAAAAAACTATAATTATAGGTGACGTGTAGATAATGAAATTGAGGTGACTCTTTCTGATTTTTTCTTTTTTATTTCTTTAAAAATGTGTGCATGTGGGGAATCGCTCAAGATTTTTATACATTCGATTTGCCAACTTGTGTTGCATGTAACAGTTGCTATTTTCCTCTGGACTGAAGAAATATTTAAAAAAAAAAGTGCTTGGCTCTTCGAGACTACTGAAAGTAACGGCACTAACAGCGTTGCCCAATTGGTTAGTTATTTGTTTAGTAATAAGTGATTAGTGCCAACAGCTTTCGGGCTCAACGTGCACAATCGTATAATTCGCTACCATAATTAACCAATTCATAATTTTCCAACCCACAGAACTATATCCGATTTCTATAGGTAGCAAATTGTAATTTGTAACGACTTCACGAAAGTTTGAGGAAAATGCGACTGGGACATAGTTATTTACAAATTGCGGATTATATATGTTCTTCTGAATGAGAGATATATACAAATGCAATTTGAAGAACCACAAGAAGAAACTCATTCATTTAAATACCTTTCGTGTTCGATTATATTTAATCAATAAATAAAAATAGTCTATGATATGTGCGATAATTTTAAAATCTGTCTGTGATCCTCGAATCTATATGATAACAGAAAGTACACGATCCACAGAGTTTGTCAAGCCTTAGAAAGAGACTCTGCCACGACCCGTTAACTTCGATTTTGTAGTCTGTCTTTTACATCTGTAGGACGGTTTTTCGTTGCCTTATGTACGCGTCTACAGGCTCGCATCGTATGCATCGAACTCGTCGTATCAAATAGATTTTGGATTTGTATAAGATAATTGTTAGAATCAGGCGTTACTTTGCGGAAATCCATTATAATAAAGATATTAATAGTTACTTTGCAACCATCCGCTCAATTAAATAAAATGATGTGTCTTCCCTAGTTTGAAGAGCACCTCCCGCCTTCTCTCAATTGCGTGCACAAATCCCGTCACCACTAATCTCAGCACCACTACTCCCAACTCCACTACTCCCGACACATCTACTCCCAACACCACTACTCCCAACACCATTACTCCCACACTACTCCCAACACCACTACTCCCAACTCCACTACTCCCAACACCACTAGTCCCACCACCACTACTCCCAACACCACTATTCTAGGAAAGACACACCATCGACGATAATACGTCATATGTTTCGCCTCTACACGAGGCATCCTCAGGTGATGTTGACTCTACGGCGGCTACGGGCAGCCCCCGCACGTTGGGAGTAGTGGTGACGGGATTAGTGCACACAATTGAGGGAACTCGGGAGGTGCTCTTCAAACTAGGGAAGACACATCATTTTATTTAATTGAGCGGATGGTTGCAAAGTGACTATTAATATCTTTATTGTTGGTATAAGTCAAACAAATGCGTTTATTCATTCGTCATTATTGCCGACACAAATTTTGAAAGGGGCCGGTCGGTGATATTCTATTTTATCCGTATGATGTACTCCTTGTCGCGTTCTCTTTTTTAATTACATAGTGTAATGTCCCCTTTTTTCTAGAATTAATATGGCAAACGAGCAAACAGTTCACCTGGTGTTAAATGAATGAATTAATGAATGAATCGTGGCCCATTGAGAAACCCACAAAATATAGATGAGTTGTCACCTCTGAAGCCTAAGATGTAATGCCTATACTAAATAGAGCAGCATTAAACTACTACTTTACGCTGTTATTTATTATTGTGTGGTCTTTCCCCGGTCGAGCCGACCCATGCGTACTACAACCATAATATAGATGCAGCATGGCTCTACCAGATACACGTACTTTCTTCATTTCTCTTCTGCTTACAAACAAGCTCTTCTTTATCATTTTCCATTTTGTCTCGCACACACAGTTTCTGCTCGTCCGCTCATAATAGTACAGTAACAATAGTGTCAAAAATCCGATTGCAAATGACCGTCGATGGCAAACGATAGTCTGATTACTGCGGGTGGACGTACTTTATCCGTATACGTT